AGTCACTATGGAGGGGCCGCTGAGACCATATAACACCGGTCCTGAAAGACCTACATTGGCTCCCAGTACATTTCCAAGCACAATTCAAAGTGTTGGTGCTGACTTTTAAAGCTCTAAATAGCCTCGGCGCAGTGCAGTGGTACCTTGGGTTACAGACGCTTCAGGTTACAGACGCTTCAGGTTACAGATTCCGCTAACCCAGAAATAGTACCTCGGGTTAAGAACTTTGCTTCAGGATGAGTACAGAAATCATGCGGTGGCAGCACGGTGGCAGCGGGAGGCCCCATTAGCTAAAGTGGTATCTCAGGTGAAGAACAGTTTCAGCTTAAGAATGGACCTCCAGAACGAATTAGGTTCTTAACCTGAGGTACCACTGTATACCTGAAGGAGGGTCTCCACCCCCATCGTTTAGCCTGGACACTGATGTCCAGCTCCGAAGGCCTTCTGGTGCTTCCCTCACTGCAAGGTGATGTTATAGGGAACCGGGCAGAGGGCCTTCTCAGTAGTAGCTCCTGGCCTGTGGAATGCCCTCCCATCAAATGTCAAGGAAATAAACAACTATCAGACTTTTAGAAGACATCTGAAAGAAGCCCTGTTTAGGGAAGTTTTTAATGTTTGATCTTTTATCATGTTTTTAATATTCTGGTGGGAGCTGCCCAGAGTGGCTGGGGAAACCCAGCCAGATGGGTGTGGTATAAATAAATTAACATCTTCTTCTTCATCATCATCACCATCATCACTATGCCTATGGATGCCAATAGCTGGAAATCACAAGTGGAGAGAGTGCTGTCATGCTCAGGTCCTTTTTTTGCACATGCTGTAGCCATCTGGTTGGCCATTGGGAGAGCAGGATGTTGGAAAGGATGTTCCTATTTTCATTGGAGAAATGTTGGAGGGTATGCTAGCCATTGACCTGATCCAACAGGCTCTTCTTATGTCCTTAATGCGCTGAAGATTAAAAAAATACCTTCTTAGCAGCGCATGTCGTAGTGATCTTAAAAGTAAGAAGGCAAGGCTCATCAAGAGGCTGGGAAAACAGAGGAATAGTGATCAAAGTTTCTTTGATTCAGTACCTTTCACTTTATGCAGCTGACTGTATTCCTTGATTTTTTTATTGATACCTCCCCACTAACTTTGAAGAGTCAGTCCATCTAAGTATTATTTCACAAGAAGTGGGGAAATGGCTGTCACAATTGCATTTATTCAATTTTCATAAATCACTTCTCAAAAAGATGATTCCCTGCCTCGGCCCTCTGGCTCATTCAGCCAGTCCAGTTCCCATCGGCAATTGTCTAAGGCAAACACAGAATGATGTGGCGGTGGCAGAGAAGAGGTGCAGCCTGCTGTTCTTCACACAGATTTGTCCTCTGCCTCTGTTCCTCTTGGCCAGCTCACATGGCTCCTTCCACATTGCACAGAGCAAACCGTGATAGATTTGAGCAAACGAGAAACGCAATTCAAGTGCAGCTTGCTAAGCACCACCGAAACACAAGGCTGTCACACCTTGTGAAGAATTAGAGGACAGCAATAGAAGCTTAGCATGCAGCACCATGAAAATGAATGTCTTTAAATATATCTTAATATCACAGTGGGATTGACAGCTCTAATATGAGATTGCTTTTCTTTTTTTAATGTAAAAGATTTAATTCCAGGGGGGCACTCAGGCTGCAACCAGTTGAAGTATGGTGAGATTAAAAATATATATAATTATGATCTTCTTAAATGATGCACTGGGCGGGGGGGGGGGATCAGCAAGAATAAGAAGACATTTTCTTCTAGACCACTAAATAGCTTTTGTTTAACCCCTACTATTGCATTAAAGTTCACTGTCTTAATCCCACTCATCAGACACCCACCCACCCACCTACCCACTCCTATTTCATGTTGCTATAGCCTCTTCTCAATCTGGTTTATGTTATTCATTTAGATTGAAGCGTAGTCATGAAACAGTTGTGCTTTTTTGATTAATGATATATGAGAAATTAGGGAATCTGTCCTTTTCATTTTCTTGCTTTTCCAATCTTTTCAGCTGTCCTAATTTCACATCAGTTTGTGATGTTTTTATTTTTAAAAGTCCTCATGAAAATGTGTACACATTTTTGCAAGCAATTTTCTTGAAATGGCTTCTCTATGCTAACCAGGAAGTGCTATCTCCAGTCAATGGAATGACTCTTCCTATCTCTGCGGCTGTGACCTCCTGGGTGATGCATTAGGCAGTTCAATGTGCATGTGTACTCCGTTCATTTCCCTCCTTCCCACTTCTGCCTCCCGTGTGGCCCCAGGCACTGGCAACCCATGCTACGTTACTGCCAGAGGGTAGCAAGTGGAGTGAGAGAGTGTTGTGATCAGGATGCAGGCCTTACATTGTGCACAAGTCTCTTCTAAATGAACTAGAGCTGTGATCTCCAGTGATGGTACCAAACACTAAAGGATCAAAAGGAAGTTGCCCTGAGCAAACAGGGTGCAGGGGATGTGATTGTGGTGAGGATTCCACATTTCTCTCATGTATAGAAACAATTATGGAATAGAAGGGTATTATAAATTTCATCCCTATTTCACAGCCCTTGATACGAATCTGAAAACAAATTTTTGATTTATTAATGCCATCCACGCCACTTCCCAGACAAAGGAACTGGACAGGGGGGGGAAAGAGGCTGCAATTCTGTGCTCCGAATAGCTTTCTGAAAGCCTCTGGGTATTTTTTAATATCACGCTTCTCAATGTTAATCTCTAAAGATCACTGAACTTGCATTAAATCTACAGATAAATAATGTTACACAGTATTACGGAGGTGATAAAATGTGGAAAGCTGCCGTAACCTTCTAGGTGGATTTTCATGTCTAGGAAAGAGGAACTTTACAATGCTGGACTACCATTTGCAGGTGGGGGCAATCTGTCAGCAAAAAGGAATAATGTAAGGGCATTTAGCAAGTTCCTCTCTTTTGTGCTATTGGGTGGGCTTAACCCACAGGTCTCTAGGACTCATGGCTTGCAAAGGCAAAAGCAGCTTACCAACCCTAGACTGTGGCTTGCTGGGTCTTTCACAATAACACCTTTTTTCTGTTCCAGGCAGGCTGTAAAACCAGTTTTCACTGAGCCTTTGGTAAATGGCTGGTGGCTTTCAGTGGGAGCTTTGAATGGGGGCTGTTTTAATAAAGGCAGTGGTGTTCACAATTTCCAGCCCCACTCCCACTTTGAATAATTGTCCCACCCCTAAGGGAGGACTGAGCTCTGTTCCACTCCAGGAACCGAGTTTGGATCACATGAGCCTAAAACTCACCATGACTTGAACCTGATAACTAAACCAGAGCTGGGCAATGTGGTGACCTGCAGATGTTCAGCGCCAGCCAGTAGGGCCAACGGTTACAAAAGATGGGAGCTGTAGCATCTGGAGAGTACCATGATGTCTACCTCTCAACTAAACCATGGTTTGGGTCAGATGTGATGACCCAGTGGCCCTCCGTATTTTCTTGGACACCGATTCCCATCAGCCCCAGCTACCATGGCCAAGAGTTGGGGATGATGGGAGTTCTAGTCCAACAAATTCTGGAGGGCCACAGGTTTCCCCATCCAGGTTTAGGTGATTATCAGCATCAACAGTGAGTGTTGCCTAAATAGGAATTAATCACGTTCACTTGAAGATAGGTCTGGCCCACTGATGAGGCAGGGTGAGGCACCTGCCTCAAGTGGCAGAAGCCCAAGAGGTGTCATCAACCTCACCTCCACCACCCTTCCCATTATCTCCTCCTACAGCGGAGAAGCATCACAGCAGTGGCACCATTTCCCATCTTGGTCTCATGGAATGCATGAGCTCTTATGAGACTTTGGGGAGATCTCATCAGATCTCACCGGAAGTCAGGGCCGCAGTTCTCAGGTGCCACCACACAACACAGGTAAGATGGGAACAGTGTCGTGGCAGGGCAGCATTAAGCAGGGGTGGCAACATGTTCCAGTTTTTCCTCTGGTGCTGAAACGGGATGTGCTCCCCCTGCCTGAGGGTGTCTGAAAAGTGAGGAAATATGCTGGTGTGCCCAGATATTCAGAAAACCCACCAGATGTTATCAACATTCAGCTTTGAACATTGACATTAACCAAATGCTGGGCATTCACTGTAACACACACAGAGTTTGCTTTTTGTCTAGATATTGTGTGTATTTGGGCAGATATCCTAAAAGTGTGTGTTGTCCTTTTAGAAGTAGCGTGACCAACGCATTATTTTTCTGTGATACAAGCGGGGAAAATCAGAATCTCTTGACTTAGCTTCGGGCTGATTCCCGAAGAACTTGCTACACACCTTCTTGTTTATCAGCTTCCTCTTTAAAAAGCCAGTGCAGGAGATGAAGGCATGTGGACTTTTTGAAATCACATGTGGTGATGTGTTCTATGGATGTTTATCAGACCTACAACAGCCAGGGGTGATTATACTTCTCTCTCTCTCTCTCTCTCTCTCTCTCTCTGCAGTTTGCTTGGCTTTTTTACAGAGGTGTTTTTCTTTTCCTTTTAACAAAATCATATTCTGATCCCAATACCTGAATTCCACATACAGTGTGATGAAATCAATATACATCTCTACAAAAGCTGGCAGTTTCTGGATTTTATTCCCTGCACATTTTCAGATATTCCCCCTCCCCTCTTCCCATGCTCTCATTCTTTTTTTCTCCCCCCCCCCAATACAGGCATAAATAGCGAAACTAATAATACTGTGGCATTCATCACTATCTAGCTGAAGACTAAGCAAAGTTTAGTACGTAGTAAGCTAATAACGGGGGAGAAAAAATGAAAAAGAAAGCTTCCCCTGCTATTGAGAAAGGGAGGGGGGAAGTAATGCAAGAAACACCAGATCAATATGAGTAGACCTGAGTTGAAAAAGACAAGATTTAAGATCATATCTGAAAGAACTTATTGACTTAGCTTTTCTAAACTGAATGCCAGATGTGGGGTGAATAACAAACAAATAAATGCATGCGTTGCACAAATCTTTAGCCTGTGTTTTCTTGCAGCCAATAGGATGCCTCCCTGATCTTCTGAAGCCAACAGCACAAGTTCCACAATGCGAGAAGGCCCCAGTAAACGCACCACCTTCACCACTTCTAAATCATCAAGGGAATTTTCAAACCAATCTAGCGTTCATCAGCCAGTTCATTCAGGGTTCTGAAGTTCCACACTTGGAGCCAGTTTGCAGAGATGTTCACAACTAGGAGCTTATGAAGACTATTCTGGTGAGCCCATGATAGGGCAATAACCTCAGGTGGGGCTGAAAGGGGATGATGGAGAGCAGGAGCTGTAAGATGAGATGGGGGGTGTTGGGAAAGACAAGAGGTGATTTTTTCCCCCTGGTGAGAAGAGAAGGATGCAAAAACAGAGAACTAACCTGTGTTTCGGACTTTGATGCCTTGATCCTGAGAGACATTGCACTGACATGTGATGCATAAGCAGGAAAATACGCAAACTTGCAACCCTCCCTACCTGATTTCTGCACGGAGAAAAACCAAATTCCGCAATGAAAATTAATTAGAAAAAGTAAGTGCATTTGTGAACATCTGTGTTTTTCTATGTTTTAGCATGTTTCTATTAGCTCCTGGAAGAAACACGAGGCACTCGTTCTGACCAGTGACCAAAATAAATTGATTTATTCATTCATTCACACAAAGCACTGGAACACCTTGAGTAGTAGAATCATAGAATCATAGAACTGGAAGGGACCCCAAGTTCCATACCTTGTGAGAGATCAACCCAGATGTTTTCAGCTTTATCTCTGAATCCATAAGGGCTAGAAACTTGCTTTAAACATTTGTGACAAATCCAAAATTCTGCACTGGCTCAAAATTGTGCATTCAGGCCTGCTCCCTAGGAGAAGTATACATTCAGCTGCACCACTGTAAGAGCATGACGACAGTCTGGTCCAAAGGTGCCATGCAAAGTGAGTTTGTTCAGCTCTGATTGGGCAGGTGCTTATTTGACTTGCATCCTGTCCACAGGATCAGAGCTTCACAAGCTGGTGCTTTTGTTCTGCACCAGGTTACACCCTCTATGCCTTTTAAGCAGCATAGAACAAAGGGCACCCTGGCCAGGTTTCGAGCTGGCTCAGGATTTTGGGTGGCTCCTGATGAAGACAAATGTAAATGACTCCCACTTTGCCAATAAGCAATGTGGCAAACACAACCAAACAGGAACTGTGGGAAGGGTCGCAGCAGAATGGAAGAACACATGCTTTGCACACACACAAAATCCCAGATTTGGTTTCTGGAGTCTCCAGTTTTGTTTAAAGGTCAGGGATGAGATGATGGAGCTTTTGAGAGAGTCCAAGACTCAATGACACTCAAGGGTAACTTCCTGGTAGATTCTGCCCAATGGATCAGATGTATTGTGTCTCCTGCCCAGCCACTCTCAAAGCACCCTTCAGTTTATCTAGTAGTAGAACCAGCCCCATCTGCCCCCCTATTGCATGATGTTTCACCAGCATCTCTGGTTTGTTTACATAGCACTCTGCTAGGCTATGTGAACTAGCTATGCTAGTCATACTTTACTGTGACTGATCATCTGGGGGTGTGGGCAGGCTGGTTGGCTTATCGGGCTGCAGGATCAAAGCATCATGGTGTTGTTGTTGTTTTTTAAAAGGGGAACTGGGCCACTCTTTAAATAACTCTCATTTGTTAGGATGGCACCACAAAGTCTGCTTCCAAATGAGCAGAAGAGAGACAGAAATAAAGTGGAGTTGTCATGGGCAATGGTGATTGTTTAACACAAATTGATTTAAGGCAGAAATAATAGGAAGCAGAGGGAACGATGATGAGAAGGGAGGAGGCAGAGGAGCAAATAGACAAGAAGCGGGGGGAGGGAGGAGGAGTTTGATTCAGCAAGTGGAAAGGCAGAATTGTGTTCTCTGGGGGGCAATGCTCAGCCTATGCTGTCTCTGTTTTAATATGTTGTGAAATGTGCGCAGTCAACTATTGACAGGTGACCATTGCAGCAAAGTGGATTGTGAATCAGATTGGGATCAGGGATACCTCGGTGCAAACCCACGCAGTCATGAACCTTCCTTGGACCTGTCCCTGCCTCTGTCTCCCTGGCAGGGCTGTATTGAGAACAAAACACATCGTATCCTGAGCACTTATTCCAAATACTGTCAATACTAAATGTGGTTATTGCAAACCTTTTGCTTTTACAATCTATACCAGCAGCTAAAGAAGCTGCAACCAGCTTTTGCTTCCTTATACTGACATTTCAATATTGTAAATAGTTGCACTGAATAAAGATCTTTGTACACCCGAAGTGGTATTCACCTTACTTTTGCTTCATTGTTAAGATCTCTGGATCTTTGGAATCCCTGTTGTCATGAATTTTTAAAAACACGAGTTCCAAAAATGTGCATCAGGCTAAACTGCTGTTTATATGCAATGTTACGTATAGAAAGTTGAATTAATTTTCATCTCATGTGGGGAGGGTGGAGAGAGTGTTCCTGCTTTCAAATTACATCTGACAATAGGCTTTTAAGAGTTTGGGATGCTTTCACTATAACAATGGAATATTTTAATCTTTCATAATGGATTTTTTAAAAACCTATTTTGAAATGTATTTTTTCACTCTACAGAAGTGGGATGCTTTAAATGAAGCATTAGAATTAGGAGCTACTAAGACATGCTGTGTGTTGATTCTGCTCAGCCTCATGCTAGCGAAAACCAGATAGGAATGCAATCTGCGTGCAACCCTTTAACATCCAAATTCCAGGCTGTGTGCATCTCTGAATTACAACCAATTAGAAATACTTTTCTCTTCTTCAAAAAAAACCCACCAAAAAAACAAATTTGTTGAGACATCAGTCTAGAAGCAAGCGAAGGGCAGAATTCAACTAGGACAGTTTTATTTTATTTTTTAATTTACTGAAAATGTTTCTAACCTATTACTGTGATACATGGCTGGTTGTTTTTCTGTGGTTTCCTAATATATTGAATGTGCTTTGTATGCTGTATATATTTCTATTAATAAAAGAAAGAAAGACAAGCAACGGTGTCTAACCTGCCTTTCATTGCAAGGCAATGCTAGGGTGGGATGCAACATCGCAAATTGAAACCAGCCACCACAATTACAAAAGGAGAAAGGAAAAATGACCAGATAAATTTGCGGCAAAAGCAGCAGTGCCTCTGTAACAGGGGCCAGAAAACTTTTGAGCCCGAGGGCAATGTTCCAGGGGTCACTTATCAGCGGAGGGAGTGGTCAGAAGCAAAAGTGGGTGAAGCTAGGGCTTTCAATCAGAACTTACAGGAAATCAGTTCTGGCACCTTTCAGGTGGGTTTCAAAACCTCTTAGGTGGCTGCCACTCATTCTATGAGAACGAGGGAGGTGTCCATGGGGAGTTCCAGCACCTCTTTTGCTGGGAAAATAGCACTAGCTGGAGCAACAAATGTAAATTATACAAAAATGCTAATTTCCACACACACATCCCAACACCCGCTCTCTTGTCCATCCAGGAAGCAAAAGGCCTTATGAGAGTTCAAGGACACATTTCAGCCTGCCAGAAGCACTTGAGGGTGCAGAGTATGGCCAATGAGGGTGCAGAGTATGGCCAATGAGGGTGCAGAGTATGGCCAATGAGGGTGCAGATTATGGCCTGGGGTAGAGAAAGGGTGATAGCGAGAGAGACACAGACAGACAGGCTGGGAAGGGCTGCATTTGGAACCCAGGCTGAAGGCTCCTCACCCTTGTTCTAGGTTCCTGCCCATACAAAATTGCCCAGGTTCTCCAAATCAAATAGAAAGCTCAACAGATTCTCACATATTTTCACATTTTGCCCCACTGGTTCTTCAGTTAGCCATGGGAATGGCCGAGGAGCTAGTTGTGGCCCCTGTAGGGGTCAAATCATAGAACTGCATGTTAGGATATTTCCGTTCCACCTTAAAAGGGAGCAGGCTTTGTGAGTCACAGAGTCTGCGCATTTCCTGTTCACAGGATGTTTATGTTTTCTGTTGCTTTCGTTTCTCTCTCTCGCTGCCTGAAACACTGAAGCAGGCAGTCATGTTTTTCTCTGTTCTGACTAACGCAGAATAAACTCTTAAATAATGCTCTCCTGCGTGCATCTTCTGCTGTGCATTATCTGCTGATAAGAGCGTGCATCAGCCCTGGAATGTGGCAAGCTATTTCTGGAGCTCGTGTCGCTAATTGCTGATACTGCGTGTCTACGGGAGATCGATGGACGTCCGGAGGCTATGTGGGGCCATGATGGACTTTGTCTCCCTGGCAGTATCCCAACAATGCGGAGTTGGAACCCCCTGCAACGCAGGATTCTTCTGCCCAACATGGGGCTCAAACCCACAACCCTAAGATTAAGAGTTTTATGCTCTACTAACTGCCATTACTAAGCAACAGCCAAGGAGAGGAAAGGAGCGGGGTGCCTCAGGGTTATGACACTGTGCAGATGCACTGTGTAAGCTGCAATCCACTTACGTTGGAGTAAGCCCCATTGAATAGATGTTTAGAGGATTGCACTCATGGCCCCACCGCCATCTCCCAGTGGTAGAGCACATGATTTGCATGCAGAAAGTTCCAGGTTCAATCCCAGTCAATGTAGACAGTAATAAGCTAGATGGGCTGGTGGGCCGATTCTGTATCAGGCAGCATCTGATGTTCCTACGTCAGCCCAGGCCTGACCAAAGTTTGATTTGATTTGATCTATTGCATTTCCATTCCGCTTTTCATTCAAGTGAATCTCAAAGCAGCTTACAGACAACAAATGACACAACAGAACATCACAAGCACAGCATAAATCATATAAAATAATTAATAAACCACCAATAAAGCAATTGCAACCCATAAAACGCTATTAGCAAAGCGGCAACTAAAAAACAAGGTAAACCTCACAATTACAGCAAATGTTTAGCCACCCAGAGTGGCTGGGGCAAATGGTGTGGGCGGGGTGCAGATAATAAAATTATTATTAAAATTAGTATTATAAGTAATATGATTAACGAATCAATACAGCATTTATAATCTATAATAAAAATATTAACAACATTAACAGTTGCTGCATACATCATCATGCCCTTGTTTCACCCCTTTGATCAGTGGGCATCATTTACTACATTGTCAGAGATTTAAGTTGTGTGTGTGTGTGTGTGTGTGTGTGTGTGTGTGTGTGTGTGTAAAAAGGCTGCATTCCTCTGGGAGTAAACTGTCAAGATCTGAATCCAGCAATGAGCAGAACCCAAAGTGGGAAGGGCCAGCCCATCTCTCTCTCTCTCTCTCTCTCTCTCTCTCTCTCTCTCTCTCTCTCTCTCTCCCTATCTCTCTCATCTCTCTCTCTCTCTCTCTCTCTCTCTCTCTCTCTCTCTCTCTTTCTCATTCCGCCACCCTCTTTTCCATTTCTCCCTTTCTGACAGGCCTTTCTTTCTTTCTTTCTTTCTTTCTTTCTTTCTTTCTTTCTTTCTTTCGTTCTTTCTTTCTTTCTGCCAGGTTGCTTGAGGAGTAACAAACACTCCTGTCAGAAGTCTGGACTGACCCCTTAGGCTGAGGGCCCTTGGTTGTCCACACCTGATCTATAAATGGTTGTCCCCATTTCTTCCAAGTTTATTTTCATTGTCATATGCCCTGATAAGGTCCTTCCACTCCAGTAAAACGCAACATTTAAGGTTCTCTTTATGCAATATATCTCCTGTACGTGTGTGTTGGAAATCAGAAGAAGGGGATTGCAGGTGTGGCAAGGCAATGTAAGTAATTGCAAGAGGAGGCTGCTTACTCATGTAATTTCCTTCAGTCATGAGATTATTCAATCCAGTGTCTCTTTTCTCCATAACAATGCCCGTTCCAATATAAGCTCCTTGGTGCATTGGACCTTGTGCTTCCTCCATCTCAGGGATGTTATTCCGTAGGACTCAGATGAAACAGAAGCCTGACCAGTGTTATCACCTGTATCACTCGTGTAAGCAAACATGTTCATGGTGTGCAACACAGTTGGAAACAGCTCTGGCAGAAAGTCAGCGCTGCCCTCAGGCTTCCAACAAGAACAGACACTGGTGCTTAGGACGTAGGGCACAATTCTGAACAGCAGCGTGGCGGAATATGAAAGAATGGCACAGCCAGCAGTGCACCCATCACCCAGCCCTAACGGAAGGTAAGGGGCAGGGTGGCACCAGTTTCCAGGCTGGCACTGTAAATAGACTGGATCAGGCCACTTTCCCTCAAATGATGGCAGCATGGTTGGCACAGCACAGACTCTGAAATGCCCTTTTATGGGGCTACTACTGACAAGAATGCCCCCTGCAGTAAACTCTGCATGGCCTACATTTGGATGGGCACAATGGGGCACACATTGCACCTGAAGCTTCTCTGCTGACAGTGAAGCTCCCCCACCAGCAAAGCTCACTTGAGGGGACACCTCACCCCATCCAAGCCCCTTCCAGCACTGTGGTTTGGGGGGTAGTATTGCTCTGCCTAGCATTTATATTAATATAAAACACAATTGAGGCCTAGAGCCTCTAACAAGTCACCTGTCGTATTCATAACACAAACAACATCATGGCGTTCTTCTTCCCATGTTGCCTCTGGGTGGCTCCTCCTCCAATTATTAACTCATTGCTCTCCCAGTAAGTACCATTACATGCACTTTACCATGGAACTGTATATGGATTTTCAGTCTCAAAAGATAGATTTTCATTTTTATTTTAAAGTGAAGTGTGAAGTGGGGAGGAATCAACAAAATAACATTTCACTAGAATCAGCTTTCAGTTTGCTTAGCTTCCAAAGAGAAATCTCTGACAGAGAGCATAAACTGACAACCTGGTGCTTCCAAGAGAGCTGGCAAGGAAATAAATAGACATCTAGAGCTCAGACACCATTAGGGTATCATGTCAGGCATCACTGCCCAAGGAGAGAATTTGTTTGCCTTCATCTTCGTCCGGAGTATTATACTTCAGAGCAACAGGGCACCAGGATGGAAGTTGGGGAGAGATGCCCTTAACAGGGAGCAGTGGAGCACTTCAAAGCTCTTGAGGAGGGAATGATAGCTTTCTGTCTCTGAAGTGGAAAGCAAGGATCAAGGTACTGATAATCGCGTCCACAGCTGCCTGACGTTGACTGAAGATGTCAGGTCTGGAGGAATGCTTTTTCTCAAGGGAAGCTGAGACCACAAGGCTTGACAGTTCACCAACCGTAGCGACAAGCCCTGGCTTAAGTTGTTGCAACCTAACTTCTACCACTCAGCATCACACTGCTTTCTCACAGGCCTCATCATGTCCAAACACTCAAGGTACGTCTCCCTTTGGAAGAAGGAATCAAAAACTAGCTAAAAGAAAAACCCAGAGGAAAGGTCATTGCAATGCCTTACTGCTAGGAGTCGCTGTCTTAGCCTTTTCTAACTGCACAATCCTATTCATTTCAGCATGACCAGGGATCACACTGTACCTGTGCCATTAATTTTTGATAATACATTTTTCTGTTAACACCCCATTCACTATTATACTTGCAAATTACTTTGTATATATTGCATTTATTCACCTCACAAATTTCTCTCACATTCCCATTCAATCCAGTAGCTTCCCCCCAAAAAATCCAGGAAAGATTATCAAAAGCTTTTTCTGTATCTAGTTGTTTATCAAAGGCATAATATTTATGCCATTACTCTGAACTCAAAAATCTGAGGACCAAGTGTAAAAGCAATAGAGATAAGCCCATAGTTCATATGTTGGAGCATGCAGGAGGTTCGAGCTTCAATTCCCACAGCAAGCACCAAGTAGCAAGTGAGCTGTTGCCAGTTAGAGAAGACCAAACTAGACTAGACAGACTAATAGTCTCATCTAGTATAAATTTCCTAAAACTAATGATGAGGATGTTGAAGATGACTAAGATTTATAGGCACTACATCAAAATTAAGAACACAGGTGCTGCTCTCAGGCTAATATAAAGATACCTCTCCACTCAGCACATAGAATCATAGAATTGTAGAATTGGAAGAGAACCCCCAATGGTCATGTAGCCCAACCT